ACTAAACATTTGTGCCAGATTAGAACTAAAATTCGAACAGATTAGAACTAACACCTGCTACAGAATTAGACTATAATGTGCAGATTTAGAACTAACACTGTGCAATTAGACATAACAATACTTAATTTTAGCGTCCATAAATAGCTTTTCAATGTAACAGTTAGTCAAAGCCCTAACTCCTTTATAATCATTAATCAAATTATTAAAATAAAATGTGGCGACCGTCTAGGAATAATTGATTCATCGAGTTGTGCAAATTAAACTAATACTCCAGGTTTATCAATTTCTGACAAACCAAAATGGACGTTATTGTGAACGTGTGCTCCAGCTTTTTGCTAAAGCCAGCGGGGTTAAAAAAAAAAGTGTGTGGGAGATATAGGTTTTGGAGTCGGTATAAAGCGCGGGTAAAAACAGTGTTGTGAGATAAGGATTGAGTCCCTGGCCAATCCCGAGTCCCTAGCTGGCCATCCCGAGTCCAGCGGGATTCTTCAACAGCCCACAATCTCCTATAAATACCTATGAACTACCTAAGGGTTTCGTGTGGAAAAGGTAGTCGGGTCTATTCTGTAGAGTGTTAGTTCTAATCTGCACAGTGTTAGTTCTATTCTGTAGCGTGTTAGTTCTAATTTATACCACGTTAGTTCTATTTTATACCGCGTTAGTTCTAATTTATACCATGTTAGTTCTATTTTATACCACGTTTGATATTGACGATTACAATATAAACGTTTCACTACTAATAATATGCATCATATTCTTTTACTCTTAGAAAATTGGAAACCTAGCACATAACCTTTTTTATATTCTTGCTTCTTCCTTCTTTAATTAGTTATCATTCACGATGTTTCAACAATGATACTGAATACTTCTCTTATGTTTGTGATATATTCCAGGTATGCCTACCTATCCTTACCTTTATGATGACGACTTGGGTAGCTACACGTAAAGAAAAAGCATGCCATGGGAACTTAACAAAAGCAATGGTAACTCATTGGATCTTCATGTTATTAATCGTGATTTTCAGTCTGTCCATTAAGTTAAAACTTTATTGTCGCATTTAGCGAAAATTAACCTGTCCTGTTTTTGTTTAAGGTATTTATCTTGAAGCTTGTGAAATCTCTGGGATGTATCTTTGAGGGTTTGCTTCCGGAAAATATAAAATGTTTATGGAACAACAGCGCTCAATGCTGTGGAAATTAAAGTAGTTGGGAACATTACTGGCCGGAGAGTACTAGTCCTCCTCCAGAATACTGACTTGTTGGGAAGATTTAAGCAGTGTTGCTTGATGATAAGAGCAGTACAAATCTATACTTTCGGAAGCTACTTGAGTGAGCTTTGGTGGCCTGGGCGGAGTGTGAACGCGAGAAGGCGAGGCCCAGGGCACGAGTGAGAAAGCCCTTGTTTTAAAGAGAATGAGGAGAGAGAGAGAGAGAGAGAGAGAGAACTGGGTTGAGGATTTGAGGAGGGTTGGATAAAAGGTTATTTTGGGGATTTTGCTTGAGGCTGGGCATGTAATAAATGTTTAAAAAGGGGTTGTGCAGGCACAAATGTCACAGTTCCAAGGGCTGAACCACATGGTGAAACTAGGAGGGGCTGCAGCACATGAAGTTTCTGATTTTGGGGCCTGGACACATTTTTCCCTAATTTTTAAGCATGGTGATTGCAAGTACATCCTTTAAGGTTTCTAATTCTACAACGCTTCATGTATCATCTTACCATTCTTGGACAAATTTTCAAAATCAACCATTTTCGAAATTTAAATAGCAAAATCGACCTCTTCGAAATTTATTCAGCAAAACCGACCATTTTCTTCTGAAAAGGGTCGGTTTTGCTGCGGAAAAATTTTTACGACATACACGGGACTACTAGTCCCGTGTATTTCGTGGCAGTTTCGAATAACACGGGACTAGCAGTCCCGTGCGATCGGGGGGCCCGTGAGTTTCTTCCTCTTGACCGAACTTTTTTTCACCCAAACCCTTTCACCCCACCTCTTTCACCCGCTCCTCAAACCCATCGACGCCGACCACTGCCGCCGCCGACCAAGCGCCCTCCGACCACCGCCGCCGCCGACCAAGTTCGCTCTGACCGCCGCCGGCGACCAAGGTAAATTTTGTTTTTTTTATTTTGATTAGCCATGAAATTTCGGATTTGGGAATGGACTTGGGTTGAGATTTGGGAATTATGGTTGAGATTTGGGAATGTATTTAATTGAGATTTGGGATTAAGGTTGAAATTTGGGAATGTATTTAGTTGAGATTAGGGAATTAGGGTTTAGACATGAATAATGTGATTAGGGTTTAGATATGATTAGGGTTTAGACATGAATAATGTGATTTGGGATTATGCGTATTTAGTAATTATTTGCTTTGTAGTTGAGATTAGGGTTTTAAATTTGACTTTAAATTAAGATTAATATTTCCAGTTATAATAGATTATTTACATATGATGGACTGTTGATTTTCAGCTTCGATGGCAAACTCTATACCCATTATTTGCTTCTTCAATGGGAGCCTCGGCGTCGGATTGAATAGTATGCCGATGTATGAGGGAGGTTATAGGAAAATGTTTATGCTATCCAAGTCATTAAATTTTGATAGAATGATGAATGAAATACACAGAGTTACGAAAATTAATAAAGCATGGTATGCAATTAAAGTGTTCTTCAATTGTCCGATAAATGAGAGTAGAACTATTGCTGTGGCGATTACCGACGATGATGAATTGAATGACATGAAACAATTAGTGGAGAAGCAATTGTCAGTTGAGTTGTTCATTGAGAAGTATCCGATTCAAGAATTTGCCTAAGTTTCACGACCACAAGGAGAGTTTTCTCGGATGATGGACTTAGACAATGAGTCGAGTGGTTTTATGACATCTCCAAGTCAAGAACCGTGGTGTCAACTACAACATTTAAGTGGGCATTCTCTTGGTAGGACGTCAAGTACTATATTTAATGACGCATCGGGCTATGTTACGGGTGATCTACCGGCCGGATCAATTGTAGAAGAAGAAGTAAATGATGACTCAGAAGATATTGAAGAAGAAGACGTGCAAATTGATAGCATGCATGTGGCAGTTGGAATCGATGATGATTCTCATTGGATGGATCAATTTAATGTTAACAATGATTATGTGGAAGCTGAAGATCCCTTGCCCGACGAGTTTCATAATGAAGATTGGATAAATACTTCGCAAGCTAAATTTGTTGATGTTGGTCCAAACTTTCAACGACCTGAAGACTTTACTTTTAAAAAAGGGGACCTATTCGAGAGCAAGGAAGCATTGATCTTTGCGGTGCGAGAATGGTCTATAAAAAATCAGGTCAAATTCAAGCCTGTAAAAACTAATGCAACCAACTACTATGTAAAATGTTATTTCAACGAGAAGAATGAAGTAGAGCATGCAAATGAGCAAGATGAGAGAAACAGGAAATGTCCTTGGTTGCTAAATGCCGCTGTGAGGAAATCAACAAATGGGCAATTTGTAATATCTAGATATTGCGGGCTTCATACATGTTGCAATCCGTCGGTGGACGTCGATCATTATTCTGCATCTTCCTCTTATATATGTAAGCTAATTATGCCTGAAGTTAGAACTAAACTTGATCTAAATGCAAGTCAGATATTTCAAAGGGTATATGATATGCGGGGCATTAAGATATCTAAATATAAGGCATATGATGCAAGGAGGAAAGCGTTGTCGAAAATATTTGGAGATTGAGAAAAATCTTATGAATTACTTCCACAATATCTTGAAGCTATCAAGCGAAATAATCCGGGTACTGAATATGAAATATTGTCTGAAGAGATTGCACCGGGGATGGAGAGGTTCACTCGAGTATTTTGGGCATTTGGTCCGGCTATTAAGGGCTTCACTTTTTGTCGTCCGTTATTGAGCATTGACGGTACGCATCTATATGGCAAGTACAAAGGCGTGCTTCTTGTGGCGACCGGTGTAGATGCAAATGGCGGTTTATTTCCTCTAGCATTTGTAGTTGTGGAGGTAGATGACACTTCTAGTTCGAAGTGGTTCTTTGAACTTATATACAAGTGGATTCCTAGTGTCCGTGCGCCCAGATTAATTACTTTTATCTCAGATAGGATGAAAGGAATTATAAGGGCATTACATGAGGGTTTTGGTGCACCACATCACCATCGATATTGTTTGAGGCATATAAGAGATAATTTTAAGAAAAAACACGGTGAGATTAATTTGCAAAATCTTTTGTGGCAAGCTGGGTGTGCAACCGATACATTAGTGTATGAACATTGTTTGTGGCAAGCTGGGTGTGCAACCGATACATTAGTGTATGAACATTGTAGAGAGAAGATCAAGTCTTTATCATTAGATGCACATAATTGGATTGAACATAACTTGAAGCCTCAATTCGAGCATAGATGGGCATTATGTAAGGATGAGGGTGTGCGGTTTTGCATGATGACAACTAATTGCTCCGAGAGCTTTAACGGCGTTCTTAAAGGAGCACAAGCTATGCCAATACAATCATTGGTTGCAAGAACATTCTATAGGCTAAACTTATACTTCAACAAAAGGCGTGAGGATGGTGTAGACTGGACAACGCGTTACACACCAAAGAATGAGTCTATTTTGCATAGAAGAATTGAGGCGGCAAGATTATGTCAAATTACTGTATTCAATGACAATGAATGGCAGGTACAGGATTATGATGGTATCTACACCGTTAAACTGTTTGATGTTGATTGCACTTGCACATGTAACATACCACAACTTCAAAAAATACCTTGTGCACATGTTCTTGCGGCTTCCTCCAATCAGCCGGGTGGTGCGAGAATTCCATATAATCGGTATTGTTCACCATGGTATTCAACAATTCATTACCGAAAGACATACAGTGAGAGTTTTCATCCACCCGATGATAGTCGATATTGGCCCGAATATACTGGACCACGACTAATTCCACCTCAATACAAGAGACAAGCAGGTCGACCACGATCTGTACGAATTAGGGGAACCATGGATCAAGGACGAGAAGGAATTGTCAAGCATAAAAAATGTAGTCTTTGCAAACAACCGGGACATACTCGACCTCGTTGTCCAGCTAGACTCAATAGATAGCAATTAATTGGTAATAATTGACATATTCAAATTGTGATTTATTTTAATGTAGACAATATAATTAGTCGTGGATCGGTTATTGATATGTTATAATTGTATGTGCAGGTATATACACCATGGAGCCTGGACCGACGAGTGATGAGGTCCTATATGACCAGCCTCGACACCGTTCACATGTTATATCCTTGACAGAGGTAACTAAGTTTCTTATAATTTCAATATTGCATTCTTATAATATTGTATTCTTATATATTCATTTGCTTTACAGAGAGGCCCGGATATTGTTATGGTTGATCATAGCCTCAGCCATAGCCGTTGGCATCTAGAGGATGAGCGCATAATAGCAGCTGTAGGACGGGCCGGCTTCTTGACATGTTCAAAGCTTCGTTGGATGAGGCTCGATTGGCCCCTACTCACCGCTTTGATAGATAGGTGGAGGCCGGAGACCAACACTTTCCACTTCCGAATGGGAGAGTCTACTATTACGCTACAGGATGTAGCTATGATACTTGGTCTCCGCATAGATGGTCCGTGCGTTACCGGCAGTGATAGACATTTTTGGCCGAACAAGTGTGAGGAGTTGTTAGGTGTAGCTCCAGAGTCAATGCCTGGAGGAATATTAAATTGAAGTGGCTAAAAGAGACCTTCTCGGTGCCGTTGCCTTTTGATGCGCTGCCAATATTGATTGAGCAACATGCACGTGCATACATTATGCACATGATCGGTTCAATATTATTTCCATATTCGAGTAAAGATAAAGTGCATGCCAGGTATCGTGGGGTAGTGCGGTTTTGGCGTACCTATATAGAGAGATGTCTAAGGTTGCATTCATGAAAAGTAGTGACCTCAAAGGGTGTCTCAGCTTACTGAAAGTATGGGCATGGGAGAGGCTGCATTTGAAGCCGAGACTATGCGTGAATTTACAATTAGACGGACAAATTCCACTAGGATGCAGGTATTATATTTGTAGGCGTATAAAATTGCCTATAGGTCCCTTAGCACAGCTCGACGCCGATTTAACAAACGGACCACCGGGCGACGTATCCAAACAAGACCGTTAGCTCGCCAACGCTGAAGCCAAGCTATACGCAACGGAGCAGGTTAACGAGGCGACAAATCGCACCCAAGCATTGGAATGCATCCACTCGCACGCGGAATCAAACCAATGTTTAGGTGAATCACCGAGTCATCTAAACAAGAGCGAACTCGGATGAATCACGATCAAATCAACATCAATTCCGGACTTAAATTCAGAAATTGGTTTACTGCCATATCAGGAACCCGACTCACTGCCATATCTGGAATCAAGTCAACAAGTCGTTGCCAAGTCAATCAACCACACAAGAGAACCAGAACCGGAAACAAAGGACGAAACGGACAAACACCCGGGGACTCGGCCGAAACCGAACCACCCCAGGGTGGCTCGGCCCAAGCCGAGCCACCCTGAGGTGGCTCGGCCAAGGCCGAGCCACCC